TATATATATATATATATATACATACACACACCACCACCACAAGCATGTATTAGCCAATTAATTTTAGGATAAGCAGTTCTGTCAATGTACAAAGATGTGTAAAACTTGAGTTAAAATATTCATATATGACTAATACTTTATATATAAACAATATACACACACATTACTCAGTAGGTAAACACTCTAGCAATTACACGTGGAGAGTCTTAGTTTGATCAAAGTAAATTTATGATGAAAACACAACAAGTATTATTTATCAAATGTTTTGATTATTGCTGTTTTTTGATTAAATACCTTATTAATATATTCAGAGTCAAAGCAATTATTACTTGGGCTTCAAAGAAAAATGAATAATCAATCAAATTACTCTATAAATGAAAATAACAATAATTCAAAATAAAATAACAGCAGTAATCAAGTTCTTATTTTGATAATGTTTCAATCCATATTGAGTCATCATCAGGTAAGAGTTACAATCGAAAATAAGGAAGAATTCAAAAAATGTTACAGAATCTGTAACAAATTTAACTGTCTTTATGAATGCAACTTTTATTGAGAGAATGACTCGATACTATGGATTGAAACATTGCAATTGCTTTGTTCAGAAGGTTTCTCAATAAACATTAAACTTTTTCTTGATTTCACTGTTGTATCACTGATAAATGTTCTTCAAAGTTAGAACAAGTTCAGGTGAGATTATGAAATTAAAATTCATTTAATAAGTGTAAATCAAATAAATCATGGCATTGGTAGTTCCTTTATTGATTTAAGACATCAAATTACTCTAAAGGACATCATATACAGACCAGATTTTTTTCATCCAGTAGCTACAAAATGCAAATGACAATGATGAAAACATAAAAGTAAATCCAACCCATACTAAAGTACAAAACACCAAAAGTTTTAGTCTTTAAAATGACAAATAACATTCACAATAAGAAAAGTGTTAAAAAACAAAACAGTGATCCTGAAGTAGTTTAAATCTCAGTTTATCATATATTATATCAACACCTTCAGGCATGATTTGGCTGAATATGTTTTAATGTCACTCAAAACATGACCACTGCTATAACCTATATATACATACATAAAACTCATTTACCAATCCACAACCATCACCTTCAATATCATTAGCATTACAATTCTTCATATTTAATCAATGTGCAAACAAATATGAACTTCTTATTTATGTATATATAAAAATAAGCTTTTATGTTGATGCAACATACAAAATGTGAAATATGGCAGTGACTTACTAACATATCTCCCCCAACCGAATCCTGGGGCTCACATTTCCACACAATAGAGAGAAGTCACAAAACTTAAGTACATGACGTATATGTACATACAAACATACTATAATGTCTTTATAGTATTAAAACATTTAATGCACTTTTGCCACAACCACTACAAGGCAGCTCATTTCTTGATGTTCACAGTCTTCCAACTGAATGCATGTAAACCATATTTCCCATGGACAGGTAAGTCACATTAATGTATAAATATACATACACTATAAAGAACAGTGTACTTCAGAATATTAGACACAGAATTACAAGACCACATCAGCTTTTGAAACACATTTTTCTAAAAGCATTTTATGCAACAAATTGCTTGTGGGTTCATTACTTTGTGTATAACAGGTTCCTGATAATATACTAGTTGTACTAAAAAAACACCATCAATATTGCAATTAATCCCACTAATCACTGCTGGGGTCTTCCACGTAATTTGGAGAGAAAATTTATGTTCTCACTTAATAATTTGGTTAATTATTTATACCAATAATTTGTACCAGACAAAAACATAAAATTATTCAAACGTGATGCAATACATCAATATCAATGGCAGTGATTGGTATACAATATAAATTAGAATTTTAAGGTTTAACTTCATTTGTTTTGTACATAACCTTGTGATTGTGTAATACAAAAATAAAAATATCTTGCACAGTAAACATTAGGGTTGATACGATATGATTTTAGTTGATACAACATGTGTCTAGATATTGATAGCACGATACAATACGTATCTAGATACAGCAGTTTTACCAATGGTTTGTTACAAAGTTTGACAGTCTTGACAATAAAAGTTAATTAGAAACAGATGTATACTGTTAAGAGGTTTAAGTTATTTAGTGTAAGCAAATGTAGTTTCCTGCTACAATTTGAAGTAATTCTAGAAAGAAAAAGAGGATAACTTTGATTTATTTTGTATTTTTTTGTGATGGTTACAAGGCTGGTCAAATTGGCCGACTTCACATAAAATTAGGGTAGTGCATATAGCAGATAAAATATGAAGATTTATCAAAAAAAAGTTGGAAATTTATTACAGAGGTTTTAGAGATTACATAAAGAAATTTGTTAATTTTTAGATGGAGAAAAGTATTTTTAATCTTTACACCAAAATCACTTTACACTTAGAGCAATGACTACTTTGACTCTATATATTAAAACATTAACTTTTACCAAAAAGACTTTATTAGAAGATACATAAGTCGTATAATGTCAGATGATGTATAGATACAATCATATTGTATCACTGTATCGCCACAACCCTAGTAAACACATTAAAAAGTAATAAGATTTCATTTGACTTGGAGATATTTATAGACACACAAATAAAATGATTTAATGAGTATAAAAATGTGCCAAAATTGATTCTAACTGAACCTCTAATTTATGAAGAATGTTAATGGTTAGGTTCGAGCACAAATAAAAGTGATAATAAATTAAGTATTATTTTTTAGGAAAATAGCATTCAGCTTACATTCAAATAATACTGTATTTTCACTTACAGAAGTACAACTTGTTTATTTCTTCATCATATTCTCTGAAAGGAATTTCACCTAAAACTTTTCATAAAATAAAGATGAGCATAACTTGCACCATGAAAACTGCTATTTCAAACTTGTATTATCAGAGATACTTCACACTGTAAAAACTGCTATTTCAGTCTTGCATTATCAGAGATTCTTGTGCATATCTAAAGTGGATGATAATTGTTAGTCTCAAATTGCATGATAATAACAGGACTTTTGTTAACATTAACTTAAGACTTTTGTACAAGCTCATGAAGATACTAAAACTTCCTTTCAGAAAAATAAAGAGTCATAGTTATTAATGATCTCTCACACAAAGATATACAAACTTTACATAACTTATACATTACTGGTAATGATATTCTAACACCACAAAAACGTTTTGTTTTTAAGCAACATTTACTTTTATTATCCTATTCCCTATTCAGATTGTAATCACTGAACATAAATCAATATCATATTATTCCTACTTATATATTTCATTTACCAAAAGAAACATGACTACAGGGAAATTTTCAACACTACTCTCCATTTCTCAAACAGAAAATGTACAATCTCCTGAAAAACACCTGTCATTCCTGATGCAATGAGACAAATACGTAAATTTTATCCCATATCATTGCACTCTACAGTGGAAAATTCAATGAAAAGACTTTCCTGTCTTATTGAAGTATTCAAGAAAATGAAATAAATTTATTTGTCATTCCTAAAGTTTAGAAACCATTACAAAAGTACTTGATGAAACCAGGATAATCATACAGTTTTAAATGAGGTTTATCAACTACAAAGTTTAAAACGTTTGTGGGGTCAATATTTGAAACAGAGAAAGAATTATAATTTCCAGGCTGAAAAGGAGATGAGTGGCAATTACTAAAAATTATATATTTTGTCCAAAGAGCTTCCAAGCCATAAATGAACTGTTAACAAAGCAATACAGTATTCTGAGGTGTTGAAGTACTAAAATAGAAGTCAAGAAAGATAATAGAATTATGCATAGTTGAATGGAAGTAAAAAATCTAAAAAAACAACAACACCCGGGTACTAATGATAACTAGTCATTTAAGCATGTAAGTTAGGAAGCACAAGAACATTTTTACTTTCAAGTTCAGATAATGATTCATTAATAATTGTTTGTTTGTAATTAAGCACAAAGCTACACAATAGCCTATCTGTGCTCTGCTCACCATGGGTATCAAAACCCAGATTCTAGTGTTGTAAGTCTGCCCCCACTGGGGGGCTTCATTAATAAAGTTCTCTCCTATATTTCATAAATATGAATTTAATTTTACTTATTCAGCCCTTGTCTATATATGGATTATTATGTTCAGTGTTTTCTCTCTATCAGTTCACAAATTTTGACCAGAAAGCAAATGTTTATTCCAACTGTTTTCTTTCAACTAGACACCAAACAGTTCAGTATGAATGCAGGTATATGTTCATTATCATCTCCTACTTGCCTGTATGGTCTGCCTGGATTTCTTGTATTGTATGAGCATCTCAATCTCTTTCTTTTTGAAGTTTCAATTACTGAAGATGCAAGTGTTTCCAATGGTTTTTTGAGAAAAAGTATATTACACATACTTGGCATGATATATATATATATATATATATATATATATA